TTTGTTGGCTTAACCTGTTTGAGACTACATTTTTCTTCTCTGTTCCCTTGAGAAAATCCTTACAAACAAAGCTCTCCCAGCTCTAGCCTTTTACATCAGAGGTGGGGGAGGCAGGATTCAGAGGAGGGAAGGGTTCAGGACTGAGTGACAGCAACAATGAGCCAACAAGCACCCTACAGAGCCTTGGTTTCCTCATCTACAAACAAGATAGGGCTGGGCTCCTCTCCCGCCTCAGACACTCTGCCTATGACTAATCTATCCTTAGAGGATCTAGAGATGGCCTAGACAGCACAACTAGAAAGCTATGCTCTGGGACCCAGAAGGGGCTACTGGGGTACAGGTGCAGGAGGCACTCTGGTGGTAGAAGACAGCCCAGCTACCCAAAGCAAGGAGATGGATGCTCTAAAATCAAATGCACCCTAATCTGCCAGCTTTCTTTTACTGCCCAAGCTCTTACCCAGTATGCCCACCCTCCCCCTCGCCTTCTGTGCCTCCCAGGGCTCAGCAATCCAGCTGGGCATTCTTCCAGCTATGGACAGAGGCAGGGCTGCCCAGGGTTTCACTGCCCACTGGAGGGAAGGTGTTCCTATTGAGCAGGGAGGAAGGGCACTAGCGTGGGCGGACTAGTGTGCAAAGGACATTGGGAAAGATCAGAAGAGAAAAATCACCCCCACACAGCCTTAGGGAGAGTCGTCCATAAATCCTACAGCTTCCAGGGGCTGGTTCAAGATGTATAGGACTTCTTGGTTGAAGGCATCAGTTAAACAAGCCTGGATTCAAATCTGGGCTGTGTTCTTAACAAGCTGTTTGTCTGGGAAAATGATTGAGCTTCTCTGAGCCTCAGACTTCATTTGAGCTCTAGAATTTTCTATAGAATGTGGATAACAATAATTTCTACCAGAGAAGAGGGCGTGAGCATCAAATGAGATAAAGCAAATAAAACAAATAGCACCATACCTAAACACACAATCATAAGGAGCTAAAAAATACAACAAAACAAAACCTTCCCAGGATCCCAGCAAAGCACTGATCAGAAAGAAAGCCCAAATCCATAAAGTGGATTCCAACTCATAGTAATCCTATAGGATGCAGTTTCCAAGACTGTAAAACTTTACTGGAGCAGACAACTTCATCTTTCTCCCTCAGGATATCTGGTGGGGTTCAAACACCAACCTATCAGCTAGCAGCCCAATGTTTAATTCACTGTATCATTAGAACTCTTAAAGCACTGATAGGAGCCACCATAAGGAAAAGCCACAGTGTTAGACCTGAAAGGTACCTCAAAGACTTCAAATCCAATTTCTTCCTTTAACAGATAAAGAAAGAAAAAGGCTCAGAGAAGTCAAATAGCATATCCAAGGTTGCACACAGCTAGTTAGCAACAGAATAGGTATGTCCGGATACCCAACACCTGCTAGTCCCCCACCCTACCCCTACCCATCTGGCCACAGACATCCCTTGTTAGGGTCTCCTTCCCACAGAGAGAGTTTTAGGCAGCAGGGAGCCCTGTTGGCACTTCTCCCCACAACCTGTCTCCTGGAGTAGATATCAAATTGTCATAAATCCTGTGGGGGTGCTATGCAAGTCACATGTAAAATACATGCAAATGACATGATGACAGGTTATTGATGAATCAACAATTTGAGCTTTTATTATATATAACTAGATCACACAACATGATGTAAATCTCTTCTTTCTTGGCCTTCTGCCAAGTGGAAGGAAATAAAATTTGTGGTTGACTGACCAGCCCTCTGCCCAAATCATGGCTGGCTTTGTGCAAGCCCCAGCTGACTCCTGTCATCTGGGCACCCAATACATGCCTCATGCTTGGCCAGTATTACTTCCTGGAACCCAGGACACAGCCGCCTTGTACTGACTTTTCTGGTAGGGAGCAGGGTGTCTGGGCACCTCTGACTGACAGGTGTTCTCTGTAGCTGCTCCCTCACTCCAGCTGGTCAGAGGGGGAGCAGAACATGTTGGGGGCCTGGGCAATGACAGGAACAGGCCCAGAGTGTCCCACCACCTCAGCCCAGCCTCTGTGATCCCTGCGTTGGGAAACGGGTCTTAGCAGCCATTCTCTGACTCAGGGGAAAGACTCCTCTCCAGGGCAGATTGATCAATAAACTCAGTATGCACCGGCTTGCACCCAACAAGGTAAGCATGGGCTTAATTTTTTTACTTGCTAATCTGCGGTGAGCAATTTTACACAGGTCTACCGATGTGGTGTGGAACAGGTGATATTCTGCACCACAGACTGGTGGGGAGGCATAATGGTACTGGTGTGTACCTTGCTTATTAAGAAATCTGGTCCCATTACTCTCCAGTGGGCAGGGCTGGCAGGCACCACTGGTGTGAGGCTCAGAAGCAGCCACATCTGAACTGATAGGGGCAGCTGTGGCCAGGGCCCTAAGCAAGCAGGGGAGACAGCAAGGTGAGAGACTGGACACTTGGAAGGCCTTTTTGAAGCTCACCAAGATCCAGTCAATGTTTCTTGGATGTCTGCTGTGTGCCAGTCACTGGAAATTTTGTGGAAACAAACAAAAGGTAGTCAATGTCTGGTCACTCTCCATGAGGCAGTGATAGCCTACCAGGAGAAAGAAAATGTGATAAATAAAATTTAACAGTACTTTGACACCTCCCTGGAAGTGTGTGTGTGTGTGTTGCCTATACAAGTATAAGAGCATGAGTGTGTGTTTGTGTAGGGGGCAAAAGGGCTGCAACCCCAATTAGAACCATACATTAATAATAATAAAACTCTAAACATAAACCTATTGTTTGCTTATTAACCGTGTTTTATGTAAATAGAAATTAGGTAGTATTATTAGCTCCTCCTATAATAGATGAAGGAGACCTGATGACACAGTGGGTTAGGCATTGGACTGCCAACTGCAGATCAGTGGTTCAAACTTACCAGTCACTCCAAAGGAGAAAGACGAGGTTGTCTGCTTCCTGTCATAATTTACAGTCTCAGAAACCCTAAAGAACAGTTCTACTTTGTTCTGTAGGGTCACTATGAGTTGGAACAGATGCTACAGCAGTGGGTTTTATAGAGGAGAAAAATGAAGCTCAAAGAGGTTATGTAAGTGACTTTCTCAAGGTCACACAGCTAGAAATTCATGGCAAAGACTTGAACCCAGGTCAGTACTACTAAATTCTATGCACACCTGGTGTGGCACTGTGGGATAAGCACTGGACGCTGCTAACCACAAGCTGCTCCTCAGAAACTGTATACAGGGTTGCTATGAGCCAAAACTGACTCAACAGCATTTAATAACAACATGCACACCCCTACCACCCCCTTCAGAAGATCCCACCACATCACCTCCTCAAGACAAGAGCAACAAGGATTGCCTTCTAAGGAATGAGACTGTAGTACCTGCCAGAACAACCATCCCATCCCCCTCACCTGACAGGAAGGCACACCCAGTGGCCTCCATCACATCAGGACCAGACCTTGGGCTCACCTCGCACCCACTCAGCAGGCAGACGCTCTCCAGAAGCCTTCCCGTATCTGCACATCTGTGAGAGTTTCCTAATGCAGCAACACTTTGTTATAATAGCCGGGCTTGGAGGCCCATCCCATCCTAATGGGTTGAGACCAGCTTCATCTGCAACAATGACCTAGAACTAATAGCAACAGCCCTGTATGTGCCATGTGCATGAGGGCCTCAGGGATGGAACTAAGAGGATTCTGGGCTGCCTCTGCTACCCTCCCCTTCTCTCCCCAACCATCAGTCCACCTTCCCTGAGGGACCAGGAGGTTGCAGGGAGGTAGAGAAGCTGCAGCAAGGCAGGCAGGTGCTGGGGGAATTAGGAAGGCAGGTAGATGACAGAATCAAGGCCCTGTTTCCAGTTAGCTTCAGGGGACCTTCTGGGTCTTAATTCCCCCTTTTCCAGCTCTTGTTCCACCTCATGGTGAGAACAGAAAAACAGTTCTTAAGAAGAGCTTTGAAAAGTTACATGTACACAAATGTAATGCAAAGGAGAGAATCGTTGGTGCCTAGGCCTGCCCAAGGAAAAAGCCAAGTGAGGCCAGAGGCCCTGTGTCCCAGATATGGAAGCTACGCCCGGGTTGGCAGGAGTCAGAGATGGCCAGAGCTCCCCAATAGAAAGAGAATCTACCAGTGACAAGAATTTTAAAAAGGGACAGGCATACCGGACAAGAGTGTCCCAGCAGGGTCAGTCCCTGGCAATGTGCCCAGGCACTCACTGGCACTTGGTGGCCCAGGCGCTGCCTGGTGATGAGATTATGGCCTGGCAGGCCCAGGCAGGGAGCCCCAGCATGCACTAGACACCCCCACTGAGGACTCACAGCACCAGGCCTCCTGTGGTACCTGGGAGCAATTCAAGCACCTCGGCTTTGACGAGCAAAGTGATACACAGTTTTGCAAGAGAACCAGGAACATTAAGAGCAAGCGCCAGTATTGCTCCCTCTTCCTACCCGTAAGAGAGATTCCATACGTGGGAGTTGGACAGAGGTAATCAGGGTACTTGGGTTCAGCAGGACAGCCCCAGAAGGTGGAGCTGGCACATATAGATATGCCTGGGAACACAAACCCGAAACAGCGTATTCAGGAAACATGCCTGAGTCTTGATGGGGAGCAGCACTCCTGTCCCCAATATGCTACGCTCAGTCTGTCTTCACCAACATCCTGCTCTCTGCTCTGCTGCCTCTGCTTCCATGCTGGTTCTCAGCCAGCACTCGCTGGGATCCTACTTTGGTGGCATCTTAAACCACCACCAACCACCCCAGGCCTAATAGTCAGTCTTGGGTTCCCTGGCCATGTCAAGTCCTCTAGCCCCCCAGCCTCCTCCTGCTTCTCCAATTGCAGCTCAGCCTGGTTCTGCAGAGCAGTGGACAGGAAGGTGACAGGAAGCTGGGCACAATGCATCCAGAACGCCAGACATACTAGGGTCTTATGGTCTACCATTCATCCTCTACTTGACTCCCAGAACCACCAACACAGCAGTGTGGACACTTTCTGCTGCCATAGACTCACCTGAGTGGGATCTTGACACGGAGGTAGCGGTCCACAGCGATTGCCAGCAGGGCCAGGATGGAGCTCTGGGTGAGGATGAGGACGGGACAGGCGACCATGAGGCAGGTGTAGAAGTTGGTCTGTGGCCCAATGTTGATGAGGATGGCCAGTGGAATGACTAGGGCACCCACTGCCACATCAGCCACTGCCAGGGACGCGATGAAGCAGAAGGTGGCATCCCTCAACGCCTGGTTCACCTTCACCGCCCAGATCACCAGCACATTCCCAGGCACCGAGACCAGGGCGATGAGCACCTCAATGCCAATGTATGCGGCCTGGAAGGCCGAGATGGAGGGCGCCATGGTGGGCACAGGCTGGACACATCAGCAAGCAGGCACCGAGGGGCACGAGGCAGGCACCTGTGGTCATGGAAGCCTGGGGTGGGGAGGCCCGCCTGGGAAGGGGAGCTCTGGGTCTCCAGCTGCCCTTTGGAGACGGGCCCCACTAGGCACAGTCAGCACTAGCCCAGGCTGGAGGGGTCCCTGGGTCCTTTCCCAGCCTAATCTTGATCTCCTCCCCTCATCATCCCCAGAGGTTCCATTCAGCAACTTAAAATAGCAGAGCTCTCTCCTCCACTGACTTCTTTTTATCAAGTGTGAGGCCGCTCCCAGCGCACACACGTACCCTCAGGAGTCCCCCATGCCTGGCTCTGCCCACCCATGCCCACAGAACAGGATACAGGGAGCTCACCATCCTGCCTGCTGGCAGGCAGGGGGTCACGGAGGTGGCGCCCAAAGTTCCGGGCACCCGGAGCCGCCCAAAGCTCCCGGACTGCGCTGGGCAGGGCTGGGCTCTGGGCACCTCTCGGTGGCTCATCGTCCTCCAGGCTCCCGCCGCAGCGCTCCCAGCCTGGCCTTTCAAGCAATCACATGGTGTAACAGAGGCTCAGCCCAGGACGCTTTTAAAGAGGTAGGCGCCCCTGTTTCGCACCTGGGACTGGTGTGGCAGACGTGGGTTTGGGGGACTGAGCCCAGAACAAGGCCAGAGCGCAGGCTTCCCAGACCCCAGTGTGTGTGCGTACACACGTGCCCTGCGCCTACCCACTTGAGACATTGCTGGTGCCTGAATCCTCCTAGCTGTCCCCCATTCCTACTCCATCTCTGCCAGGGACACTTGCCCACCGCCTACCCTAAGGGGGGCTTCTTTCAACCCTCTCCTGCATGCCCCTATGGAGTCCCAGGGGAAAATCGAACCACAGACTTACCCAAGGTCACCAAAGCTGACAGAGCTCCTGACCACCTGAGCGCTATTGCCCAAGTGTCCCGCAGCTCGCAGCTCGACGCCTTCAGCAGCTGCCTGCTCCGGGGATACCAGGAGAATCCAAGACCCGCCTATTAGGGGGATGGGAGCTGGTTGGGACACGTCTCCCGGAGCCGGTGCCTTGTCGCCCCCGGCGCGGGAGCTGAGTGACAATCGGGCTCCACACACCGGGAGAGGGCGGGGGCGGTGGTGGCGGCACCGCGGGCCCCTCCCTCCTTGCCCTCCCGTCTCCTCCCCCATCCCCTCCTCTAAACAAAGGAAGTGATTCTGGGTGAGAAAAGCTAGGAAAATGTGAGCTCTTAGAAGGGTCTAGTGTATGAATCCAGTCAGGAGCTAGACAGAGGTACAGTTTCCGAATGTCCACTCCCTCTTTTCTGTCTGCGGGATGCCGAGGCGCCCTGGCCCAACACCAGAGTCCCTTCCATTCCTCACAGCGCCGCAGCATCTCACCTGCAGAACTCTAGAATGTCTCTCTCGCTGACATGCCCCCCAAGTCCCGTCCTGTTCCTTCTCACCACCCCCGCCGCCACCGCCACCCCATGATCAATCCAAAATCCCTGCACTAAGATGAAAACCGTTTCTGCATCTTCTCAGGAACTAACATCCTTCGATGGCACGTTACTTGGCAGGCTCTAGCCTATGCCATTATACAACATTCCGTTCTCGAATCCATCTTGCAGAACTGCAAGTTTATTAGCAATTTCCGTTTTGCAGATGAGAACACTGAGGCTCAGAGACTTGGTCTAGCTTCCCAAGATCTTCTCAGTCAAGTCTCTGAGCCTCAGTGTCCTCATCTGTAAAATGGAAATCACTAAGAGTCCTGGTGTGGCTTTATAGAGTAAGCACTGCACTGCTAATAAGAAGGTGGGAGGTTCAAACCCACTAGCCACTGCTGAGAAACCCTATACAGGGTGGCTCTGAGTCAGAATTGACTCATCAGCATTAATAACAACAACAATAGACTGAAAGGCAGTTCTGAAAGATGGATGAAAAAGTCATGTTGTTCCTTTCCCCCTTCTCCCTTTTTATAGCAAAGTACCGAAACCATAAAGCATGCATCTTATCCAGTCCCTGGTGACACAGAAGAAGAAATAGACTCTGAGAAGGAAGCTGCCACAAGCTCACACAGCAAATCAAATGGAGCCAGAGTAAAGCGCCCAGGAAGCACCAACAGGAGAAGCCCCCACTCCCTGCACCATTGCCTCCACACAGGGTTTTAGTTTAGATGCCTTACAGGTGCTAACCAGGACCACCAGGGGCAAGATCATCCATGCTCTGAATGGGTGCCTTACTGAATAGCCTTGTTCATGAGTATTGGGAAAGGGTCTTTCAAGGGCAAAGAGAGAGGGTCCACAGTGCCACCTGGGCATGCTCTGGCCTCTGGGGCACTGCCCCCTTGTTGGATCTCAAGATACCAAGAGAAGGGTTCTGCCACAACCTGAGTAGCTAGAGGGATGAGGGTGAGAGGGCAGACTGAGTCATCCTTGGTGGAGGAGGAAGCCCAGTATGGGGAAAGCCAACTTCCATTTCTGCCTTTAGGGGGAGCAAGGAATCTGTGTCTCATGAAAGTTGAGAATCCAGAAGCCATGAGTTCTCTGTCCCCCTCTTTCTCCTCCATTTCCTCTGAAGACTTCTTCAACACTCCAGGCCAACATCCCATCATTCTGCCTACTCTTCCTGTGAGTGAGTCTGTGGATCATTGTGACCAGTCCCCTGATTCTTAGCTCAAGCCTTCTCATCTCTCAGCTTCTTGAAGCTGTTCCTAATACTAACCCAGTCCTGCTACGTCTCAGAATTATCTAGTTATCAGAGTTTGGGGCAGGACGTGAGTGATTAGGGTCTCTCTATCTAACCATCAGCTTCAGTTCTAGAGGGTGCCTGAGAATCCCCCTAGTCCCAGCCATGCCCCACCACCCCAACTCCTCTTACCCTCGGGCTATAGACATGTAATAGATACATTTACAGAATACCTGTGAGTAATTTGTTTGTTCCTCAGTTCTGGGTCAAATAAGCTAAAACCCTGTTCGCTTCTCTCATGCCTAAATCCTTCTCGATTTTCAGGGGCAGCCCTCCCAGGTAGGAGACTGGTCTGCAGAAAGGAGCTTGTCAGGAAACTGTTCTGAGAGAAGCAGTCTCCTCAGGGTCCTCTGGCCAGGAGTAAGGGTACTGGTGCAGTGAAAAGAGTACTGGACCATGAGTCAGAAGTGCTGGAAGCTGGTCTCAGGCAAATCCCATTTCCTCTCCCTGTCTCAGTGCTGTGGATTTTGATGTCTACCATCCTTTCTACTTTTGTAGTCAGTAAGTCCATTCCAAGGTAGGAAAGATGTGCTGGGATAGACACCACAGGGGCTCATCTTTTTCACCTTGATGTGCCATCCAGTTGGTTACAACTCATTTCAACCCCATGCACAAGAAACAAAACATTGCCCAGTTCTGCACCATCTTGACAACTGTTGTTACACAGTTGTTGCTGGTGCCACAGTGTCCATCCATCTCATCTGGGAGCTCTCTCTTTTTTGCTGAACCTCCACTTTACCTAGCACTTTATCTAGTCCTTCTCTAGGGATTGGTCCCTCCTGATAATATGTCTGATGTATGAGAGACCAAGTCTTATCATCCTGGCCTCCAGGGAACGTTCTGGCTGTATGTCTTCCAACACAGCAGACTTGTTTGTTCTTCTAGCAGTCCATGGTATTTTCAATATTCTCCTCCAACACCATAATTCAAATGCATTAGTTCTTCTCCATTTTTCCTTTCCACCTAGAAACCTTCTAATCCAGGCTACCCCATCCAGGGACAGATACAGGCCTGAGATGAGGGAAGGTTGTGAGGTGGGGCGGGCGAGGAGTTGAGGAAAAGAAGTCAAAAGTCTACAATGGGGCACAACAATATGGGAGTGTGTAGGTAGAACAGGTGGAAACATGGTATCCAGAATGTACCCAGAGCCCAAACTCTCTGACTTCCCCAGTATGTCCATGTCCAGGACTCCTTGACTAAATGCCACACACACACACACACACCAGGGTCTATATATCTTCTGGGGGGAAGTGTGACCTGCCTCCTAACAGCTGAGCCTTGGTTTCCTCAAAAGGAACGCCTCTTCAGAGAATCATTGCAAGGATTGAATGAACTAACTCATGAAGAGTTATAGGATATTCCATCAAAAAGGTGAGCAATCAGCGTGTGTTTTGTTGTGTAAAAAAATTTTAAAGGCCAGCAGGAGGGCAAGGCAGGTTGGAAAGAGTAGAACCTAAATCCCCAAGCGTATTGCTATCAAGTCTATTCTGACTCATAATGATCCTATAGGACAGAATAGGGTTTCCAAAGCTATAATCTTTACAAAAGCAGACTGCTACATCTTTCTCTGGTGGTTCGAACCATTGACCTTTTCCTTAGCAGCTGAATGCGTAACCACTAGGACTCCTTTTCCCAGCAGACAGGAGGTGATTTTGCTCCCCAGCCCCATTGTTAGCATTGGTCTGGCCAGTGTGTGTATGAGGAGGGGAGAGTTGGGCAAAGGCAGGCAGTGAACAGACTTCTTCTAGGTGTCAGGGAAGCCCCTGGCTTTTCCCCAGGTAGCCACCTCCAAGCTACATCTACCCCTGCAGTGTCTTCCTTGAATGCTTTCCAAATCCATTCTTAAAGCCATTCCTCTGTTCCTTCACACTCCTCCTCCTCAGAGTTGGAATCTAGGTCTCTCTATTTCTTCCTCCTACTCTCCCTTCTCCTAGGTCAGAGACTCCTGTGGGGGAAATACTGGGTGGATGCAAAGAGTCAGAATCTCAACACAGAGTATTACCCTGTGTGTGAGAGAGAAATAGATAGATCAGGACCATTTGGTCCATGGTCCTTCAGACCACACTGAACCAGTCCTAAATCCTGAATCAAGGATGGAGCAGCTTTTGCTCTTCTTACCTCATCATCCACTCAGTCATTCTATTCAATAAACCTTGATTGAGGTGCTGGCATGTATGTAGTAGGAACTCCTGGGACAGCGCTGTAGGATCAGCACTGGACTGCAAACCACAAGACCAACAGTTCAAACCCACCAGCTTCTCCTTGGAAACCCTATACAGGGTCGCGATGAGTCGGAACTGTCTCTACAACAGCACTTAGCAACAACAAATCATGTAGTAAACCCTGAGCTGAGCTCTGTGGAGATAGAGATTAAAAGGCACAGTCCACCTCCTCAGTCCCCAGAAAGAGCTCACAAAAAGTAGGGGAACATCAGTCTTGTTTGTCAAATTGATTCCAACTCCTGACCACCCCCTGTGTACAAAGTTGAACCCTAGGAGTTTCAAGTTTGTGATCTTTCAGAACTAGATCACTAGAGTTGTCTTTTGAGATACCTCTGAGAGGATTCAAACTGCCAGCCTTGTAGCTAGTATTGGACTGCTTTACCATTTGTAACACCAGGCAAACCAAACATCAGGCATAAATGACCCAATGCACAGCTCCTCCTCTAAGAACCAGTATGTTCTTCCTACTCTAAAGTCACTCTTTCCTACCTCCATTGGCACAGGTTTCCTCTTGTGGTACTCCAGGAGAGATGAAAAAGAGTTCATACCAGTGCTGAAAGGACTGCATGCAGCCTTCTTACCTGAAGGTTTGGAAATTGTACACCAATGATCCCTTAGGGTTCATCAGAGGAGACTAAGTCATGAGGCTCAGGAAACTAACCCTGTTTTAGTCAGAGCAGCTCTGCTTCCATTAATTTCATATCTGAGTACCTTGTATAAGATTTTGTTAGCTCTATGACATTCAAAAGCTTGGAACTCTGAGCTCCAATCCAATCCCTTAAGATAAGAAAACTGACACTAAGTGAGGAAATAAGTTTATCCAAATCCACCTGTGCAATGGAGGCAGAGCCATGCTCTGAACGTTGGCCTTCCTTTCTCTTGGGAAATTCCAGAGCACCCAGCCCTTTAAACTCAGAACTTGGTGAAGTAAGTGTTCTTGGCTTTCGTCCCCTTGTACTCCCATCTCATAGAAAAGGGAGTTAGGCTGCAAATATACCCAGGGGAAAACATTAGGTGGACACAAATTTACATAATAATAAAAGTCCTTTGTAGCACTTTGTTTCTTATAGAGAAGTTCCCATATATGAGTACAGTATCCCATTTAATGCTGTCCATATACCTGGGTGACAGCAAAGCAGGTGTTAGT